GTTGACGTAGAAAAAAACAATTTATTTTTGTTTGCCTCCTTTTTGTGTTTTATGAATGCTTGTGATAAATGGGCTATTCAAGCCCTAAGACAACAGCCAGTTCAGTCAGACAGCCTGGTGGATAAGGCTTTCCCTTTCTTTTTGGCTGCTAGGAAGAGACTTCCACTCCTTGTTTTGTTTTATTTGCCTCGCAGCCATTTCTCCTCATTGCTATTTTCTTACTTCTGATCATTTCCAAGCTGCAGGAATGTTTTCCCTCAAGATTTTCCCCTTCCTCTCTTCTCTTGCAAAGCACTTCTGAGCGGCACCTTCTTCTACCTTAGAAATGAAAGAGGGATCACTTCAAAACCTCTCCATGGGGGAGCAGGGAAAGAAGTGAGCAGAAATCCGCAAGGACCGGCTTTCGCACAGCACAGAGCAGGTCATTTTGTCCCTGGCCCATCTGCAGACAGGCGAGAGCCGTGCCGGGGCTGGGCACCGCGGCCATTTCCAGCGGTCCCACACTGATCAATCACCAGGGGTGAAAAGTACTCAGCAGCAATGCATTGCTCTGCTCTCTTGCCAAAAACACCCCAAAATACACCCGGCATGGATCAAGAGGATGTGGCAGCACCGCCTCCAAGCTGGGGCGCGCATGCAGGCGGCACCTGCCCCGCCTTGGCCAGCGGAGCCGAGATGTGGATGGAGGGGGATTGCTGAGCAGCAGCTGTTACGGGCTCGCTGCTTTGCCATCGTGATCGAGTAATTCCCATCTCTTTAAAGAGATCTGAGCCTTGCCTCGTTACGGCTTGTCAGCGCTGGGGAGAAAAATAGGCAAGATTGATTAATGTAGTTTACAGATTCTCAAGTGGCTGTATACATGTTTTGACACTAGAGAGGGAGAGGGAGAAGTGTTTCTCTGTGCCTGCCTTTGACTTAATGAGCAGCTTAACTGATATAAAACAGTTCATGTTATTTGAGTGTTCTTTTATTATTATTATTTTTATAGAGAGGGGAGCCTCACAAAATGTAAAAACAGCCCCAAAAAAATAAAAAGTGGTACTGGCTGTCGCATCTTCTCCAATTAGAGTGTGAATCATCCTGTGGTGATGATTACCTTGTGTTTAATATAAAACAATAATGACACACAAAATAATTGTTCTTCTTGCATCTTGTTAGCTCAAGTTTTCTCTGTGGTCCCAAAACCAGGCTTAAAAAAGCATAGTCTTTTTCCTCCAGGCCATTTTGTACCTTACAATCCACATGATAACTATCATCTTAGATGTTCAGATATAAGTGCTGTACTGATTGAAGTAGTAGGGAGTAACAGAGGCTGCTTAGGCTGCTGCAGAAGTGTTAGTTAGCTGCTTGTCAGCATTTGCTGATGGCATCTTGTTTTTCTGGTGTTTTACATGAGATCTACAAGCAGTCTTTGTAAGCAATGTTCTTGGGGCAAGCAGATCTGCTACACCAAGGAAGGCACTTAAGCGGGTGCTTAACATTAACCATGTATTCAAGTCTCAATAAATGAATGTATGTGACACTTATTTTCTGCAGTGGAACATAACGCAGGAGCCTATAGCTTCATCTGGCCAAGGGCACAGAGCAGGAAACAGATACTAGGCTGCTTCCAAATGTGGAATTACCATATCACTGTGGTGCTGCATCTGGTCTCATATGCCTTGGTTCTCACTTGGCACTGGTCTAAGCTGGTGTTACAGCTCCCGGCTTCAGGAGCAGTTCTCTGTGCTTCTCTCTTGTTGCACTGGTCATCAGTGTCCATGAGACACACTCATGTCTCGTGTGGGATGGGGAGACTTGTGTATGTGCTTTAGTCCTTTCCTGAATAGGAGTTTATTATTATTAATAATTATTATTTTTGTTAGGATAAAAAGAAGAAAGCTTCTGAGTTTTCTCAATCTGGAAAGCAAACAGAAATAATTCTTTAATGTGTGTTACATCAAAACAGAGCTTGTGTTATGGGTTTCCTTTTTCTATTTTTCTATTTTATTTTTTTCCATTCAAGTAAACTCTAATTGACTAGGTGTTCCTGACAGACGATGAGAAGTATCTATTGACAAAAGGAATTAGGAAAAAAATAGTGTTTTGCTGTGAAATCATTCAGCTGTCTTTGGTTTAAAACTAGTATTATCTTTTATCGTCCTCGCTTGAGTTAAAAATACTGTTCTTAGCTTGTCACTTCCTACTTTTATCATTTACCCTGTTGATCTTAGTGGACAGTAATCAGACCAAGAAATGGTGTTGGCAAAGAAGAGTTTGCTGGATATGCATGGACAGATACTCTCTTTCTTTTCGTCTTTGCTCCCTTCCACTTACTCCCGGGTGTGATCAGGGTGAATCTTTCAGTTTTACTTAACATTTTCAGAACATACTCTAACACTGGAATACATTTGTTCTTCTGGGCAGCAATGTGCCTTTTCCTCATTCTGCTGTTCTTCGTTTACCCCAGTGTTGTGACATCTTCCTGGCACCTTCTGCTCTGTTTGTGCCTGTAGGAAGCTTAGAGAAGTAGCTCTCTTATTTTGGCGTTTCTTGGCATACCATTCATCTTGGCTTAGTTTTTATCTCTGGAACTTCATGCCATTGCCATTATTATTTTTTTTTTCCCTTTTACTAACTACAGTTTTGACATTGGATTGGTAAGGGGTGCATCTGTATGTAGGTCAAGATGTGAATGTGAAGTTCAGCACCGTGAAGTGTCTTAGTTGAACAGCCGCGTATGGAGAAGCTATATGCCCATCGGAGGGCTTATTTTTTTTTCACTTGTAAAAAGTAGTAATTTTGTTTTTCTTTCCTGTCTAGTTTTCATGTCATTTTGTGTAATTAGCTTACAGATTAGTTTGCTGGTACCATCTGCTAAACAAAACCAAAGGAATTACTAAAGAGGAATTCAGAACTTGGGTTGTTTCCTATCATCTGTGT